TATTATTATATGTGCGACACCGTGGTGAAATCATGCGCTCGTCAAAATAATGAAATCGAAGAAACGGGGAATTGTTCTGCCTGATTGGCAATTTTTTTTTCCATTTTTCCTTTTTTTGACTCAACGTTATGAAGCGGGTGGTTGGCGGGTGCTCTGGTGTGGTTTGCTCCTTCTTTCCTATCAAACATCTTTCGTCCTTTTCTCCCCTCCTTCTGTTTTGTGTTTTTTACACTCTTGTAACACCTCTAATCTTCAACACTTGTATGACCTTATTATTGTGTTGCAAGTGCCGTAAAACTCTTACTAAAACTAAACTAAACACCTTGAGGATCCAGTTAAAATACACTTCTGTGTAGATTTTATGGAAGAACGTTGAATTAAGGTACAAAAAAAAATTAATTTGCCATTTCCAAGGACTCTCAAGCTTTGGAAGTCACGCAACTTTGGTGACCGTTTTCCCGATGATTTTTACGTCTGAAACCAGGCGACCCAATCTCCTTCAATCGCAAATGTTTTGACTTTTAATAAAGATAGATGAGCGGGGTTTTTTTTTCGCAAAAAGCAAGACAAATTGTAAACACGCTTTAAGATGACACGAATAATTGGTCGCTTTTAAGCACAAGGGGGATATCCCGAAAAAATGCTGTTTTGAGAAAATTGAAGGTAAAGTTTTTGCCCCTTGTTCAGTTTCTTTAAAAGACAAGGGAAGTTTTAGATAATATATATTTAAACAAATATACACACCAACGAAACCAAACTTATCACATGGGTAGGGCAATGCCCACTTTTGGTGTAGGTCAAGAATTCTGGAAACCTTCGAGATCTGGGTTAGCCCGGACCTATTCCACATACCCACATATTGACGAGTGCCTGATTCCGCCGCGTTGTGACACGTTATATCTCAGTTGCGATCTGTTGGGTTTTTTTCGCCAAAAGCAAGACAAATAAACAAGCTGTAAGTTTAAGATGACCCCAATAATTTCACATGCCCCAAAATTGACGGCGCGTTCATATGACCGTATGCAGTTGCGAACGCCGTAAAACTCTTACTAAAACTAAAACTAAAAAGAATTGACGAGTGCCTGATTCCACCGCGTCGTAAAACGTTATATCTCCGCTGTGATCCGTTGGCGCTGCCATTGAGGCTGTGTCCAGAAGGTGGGGAGTTCACGACACAAAGGCTAAGTGCTGCACTTAACGGATCACGCCTCTAAACGATCGTTTTGTCGTGGTTTTATGCACCCCGCGAAATTTAACAAAATATGATCATTTTTGGCGTATTTTCTGATTATTTTCCTTTATCATTCTTTGTTAAAATTAACAGAATCGCATAATTTCACATTTGGGGGCTCAGTTTCCATAATTTCAGAATTTTTCTTGCATAAAACGACGGGGACAGACTAAACGATCGTTTTGCCGTGAACGCTAGAAATGTTTCCAGCAATAATGTGATTGATTTGGTTTGGAAAGAGTTTTGCAGCCCTCTTGACTACAGAAGGTCACAATATAATGATCACGCACTTTCAATATCTAGAAAGGGATTGCGGACGCAGGGTAGGGGGGGGGGGTGAACTACTAGAAATGTTTCTGTAGTCTTCCCTGGGACTTGCGTTTGTTTCGAAATGCCATCAAGTTTTCTGAGTCATTATCAATATAATGTAGATTCTAAAGCGCATAGGGCTTGCTGTTGAATTGGAATTTGCGTCGTGCAATTAAGGCTATTTGTATGACGCTTATATGATGATAATGAGGATGATGAGGCTTTGCCTTATATTAAGAAAATGCAATTTCAAATCAATACATAAATACATAAATACATAAATAAATGCTTTAATAAATATAATTTTA